GAAAGAGTTCTGGGAAATGCTCTGAGGGGCCAAAATTGAGCCAGGGTTAAACTGTGCTCAAGATAACAGAAGGCCACACAAAGGGCAATTATCAGTCTGAGAATGGCATGTGGAACGTGACTTGTGAGATGACTGCTCTCACCAGGGACATGATTTCTCTTATCTTTTCCCTATTTCCCAGGTCATAAGGGTTTCCTTATTAGCTCAGCTACAATGGTTATTGGCAAGGTAGAGAGCTTATTGAGGAGCTGTCCAACTTTCAGGGCTATGAGACGCGTTATTCTTTGATGCAGTGAGCTGCCCTCATTTTTATTTCCTAAAAAATTACGGTATATGCATGTGCATGTAGGTCTGTGATGTGTGTTTTATATATGCACATAAACACACTTTATTTATTTACTTATATTTTAGAAAAGTTGAATTAAGATTCATTTCATTAGGAGAACTTCATAGCACCCTTTCAGATCACAGAATCAGTTTTCTGGGAATGACCAGAGATAGTGGGTGAGGAAGGAGCTTTAGAAGCCTAGTTAGAAATCACTGAAATCACCAAAGTCCCAAGAAAAGGAATTATTAACTGTGAGTTTTCTCCTCCAGGAAGTGATGAACTGAAACCAGAACAACATCACCCTCTCCCTTCCTACCTGGAGTACAGGCATAATGCCTCCATTCGAGTGTACCAGACCAACTATTTTGCCAGCAAATGTGCTGAAAGTCCTGACAGCAACTCTAAGAGTTTTAACATTAAACTTGGAGCAGAGATGGAGAACCTAGGTGGAAAATGTGATCCAAACCAGCAAAAATTCTGTGATGGACCACTGAAGCCACGCACTGCCTACAGGTTAGCTGCATTACCATTGTTTTAATAAAAGGGACATGCTACATTATGAGGCACTTGACTGTCTGAGCATCTAATGCATCTGAGCTTCTGTAGCTTAATAATCTACATTGCAATAGTACTCTACATTTTACTGGGTCATCTATAAAGGCTAGATTCTTACCACTATGCACAGATAATGTGTAAAGAAGGCCTTTAGCACTATCCGCAAACTCCAATTTATATGTGAAGAACTGCAGGCTTTTAATAGATTGTTCTTCCTCCAATGACTTCTTTAATATGGGTCAAGTCATTTATAATATTAACTATTGCGAACATGTCTAAACAGAAAGACTGAAATTATGTTTAGTTACCTTTAGAGGCATGTAAAGGTGAAAATGCTCTGTGGTCAGACAGGACTCTTAAAGACAAGGAGCCCCTGAGTGAATGGGGTCACCCTATCCTTCCACTGAGATAGCAGATGAAAAGGAGCAGCTGTTTGGCTTTGGCCTCAGGAAGCACCACTGCAGCAACAGGCTCGTTCAACCCTAGGAACTGCTGGTGCTCTTTCTGGACTCTTTCCAGAAAGCAGGAACAAAGAGAAATGTACAGCACTCCAATCAGGATCTTCAGGAGAAGGGTAACCGAGGCTACTGTATGGGCTATAAGGCTGCAGACATTCAAGGTTATAATTTCTGCAAAGAATGTACCTTCTCTGATGGGTGTTAACAGAGTTGATATTGCAGCCAACCAGTTTCTTTCCTGTATCCGGTCTGGTTAGTCAGTGCAGAGATCTTACTGACCTTTACATATTTTGACTATCATTTCTGATCTCAATAGGAAAAATTCTTCTGCTGGTTCCAAAAGGAGACTATGACATTACATCACACCTGAGAATATACTTAGCCCTTCCATCACATTAATAAACACAGGCAAATGTTTTTCCTAAAACAAAAGACTCACTTTTAGCAAAAATCCTGTAGAGCTACCATTGTCCAGGCCCACCTTAAGCTTGCTATTTCCTCTTAGGCAAGGTCGGCACCTTCAAAGTAAACACACATAAGTTTATTATGATATTTTCTTCAAGAAGACCATATGTGTATACCTGAAGGAACTACAGAGGTGGAGGAGACAAAGGAGATCACAAATCCAAGATCCTTCCATTCCTATGAGAATTAACAGATGCCACAGCTCTTTGGTTACTGGTGCTCAAGGAAATGTGAGCAAACGTCTCCTAAGGGCTATTTTCTATTTTTGAGTTGGAAAGTTTAAGCTATTTTTGTTGGTTTGCTTGCTTTACTCTCCACGAAGGAAAAAAGATGACTCATTACTACACTTGAGAGAGAGAGAGAGAAAAACACACTGTAAACAACTCATGTCTGAACCAGGACCCACCAGTCTCCCAGTACACATCCTTCCTATCCACAGTAGTTGCGGAGATCTTAGAAAGAGCCCTGCATTTTTGTCCAGCACTGCTGTTTCTGAGCTCAGCATCCCTGGAAATGTTGCAGTTCTCTTGTCTTCAATTTTCTCATTGAGAATCATCACAGGATTGTTCTTAGGAGTAATGTATGTGTAAATCTAACCTAGTCGTGTCCCTCCTAGATTAAGATCTCCCCATGGTTACCACTCACTTTCAAGTAGATTCCAAAGCAGGGCACAGAAAGCCCTCGCCTTCTCTCTCCCACCTGCCGCACAGGTCTTGGCTCCTACCATTTGCCCAAGTGCCACCTGCTCTCTTGCAACTCCTCACTCCTTGGTTCTCTGAATACCATGTGGTTTTCTTATATCTGAACCTTGGCATATTCTGTTCACTCTTTGGGGGATGCTTTTCACTCTTGTATGGCTGGTAAATTCCTTCATATATTTCAAAAACCAGCTCAAATCTCACGCAGGCCCACACCACCCTTGTCAACCAATAACTCAATTTCCACAGCATCTTGTCGCTATGTCTCTCTAATCCTACACTGACCAGTGGCTTGTAATCTTTTACCAAATTACCTGCCCCCTTCGCTAGATTGGGCAAGCTCACAAGCTAATAGGAAAGACAGCTGTGTTGTTCATTGCAAAACAGTATGTCAAGTACTTGGCACGAAAGAGGCACTCATGAAATGCTTGTGGACAAATAAAGGAATGAGCCAAAATAGTCTATAGAAATTATACATTCTTGTTGTAGCATAACCAACTTATGGTGTACATATTTGTTTTCTAGAATACAGCATTTCTGTATTTCTCCAATATACATGTGGTTCAGTCCTGTTCAAAGCATGCCAGGCAGATAACACTTGAACAGGGGAAGCACGAGGGCAAACCAAATGCTAAGCAGCCTCTTGTGTGATGGCCACTGATTGGCCTCAGTGCTATCAGACTTCTGCCTGTCTCCAGGTGATAATCACCACAGTGACCCTCAATGCTGTCAGGCATCATTTTCTCGCCCCAAAGGGGACAGATGAACAGGAAAGAACATGGAACAAGAAAAGATAGAAAAGAAATGGGAAATGCTAGGTTCAGCTGGAATGCACCTGTTTTATGTTAATGAATGTAGTGGGTTCCCATTCATTGTTGGGTTCCTATATCTGTATGTATTATTAGCATTGCTCCATATGGGAAGAGAAAGGGCAGATCATTATGGTGAGATGCAGTTTAGGAATTAGGAAAGTGCTGATCTAGTTTGGTTTTGTTTCTAAATAGAATAGCAATGTGACTACAATCAGGTAGTCAGCTTCTCTTGATCTTGTTTTCCTCACATGAAGAAAAATGGAACCACATAATCTATAAGTTTCTGCTAAAGAATTCTAATTCTGGATACATTTGAAGTTGAGACAACTTTATCTTCTATACATATTAAATATGTTATATTGTATCATTTGTGGAAGGTACTGGGCCAGGTATTGTGAGTGACAGGAAGATAAATAAGATGGAGCCCCTGCCTTCAAGAAGCTTAAAATGCAGAGAGAGAAGGACATATCTATAAAATATAAGCGGGAATGTTGAAAGGGATAGGATGAGTATAGGCACATACTGGGAAGGTTCAGAAGGATTCTTGATGTACTTACCATTTTTAGTTGGCATTAAAAAGTAGAGAAAGGTTTAGAAATATGGAGATAGGGACAGATGGAGATTTAATGTAGAAGAAACAATGGAGTCAACATGTGGAAGAGGAAATTCACAGACTACTTAGAGAAGAGCCAATAGTCTAGTTTCAAACAGGGGGTTATAGAAGGGGTGGGAGGAAAGTGAGACCAGGGAGATAGAATGAGAGGGGATTATGAGTGAGTGCTAAATTCTGGACTATGGAATGTGGTTGTGGTGTCCACTTTTAGAAAGAGTTTTAAGCCTTGATGATCCACTTATTTTAAGCCAAGTTTATTTGAGGTCATGATCACCTTTCTGTGTTCGTAGAGGTTCTTGTTTTATTTTGGGGGTTTTGTTTTTGCTTTTCAGGTTTTTGCCATAGGGCACATGCTCTTGCCATAGAATCAATGAAAGAGAAAGCGCGAAATCACCACCCTAAGGGGGATGGCCATGCCCTAATCCCTTCTCCATTCTCCTCCTGGGATTTTGGGCAGGCACACACACACCCCCCGTGTGTTTCAAGTTGCCAGGTCTGGGACTCAAATCGTGGTCAACTATGTGGGGAGTCCAGCACCTTAACCACCACACGACCTGCAGACCCCACTTAGATGTTCTTATTCATCTTCATGCATTTTGTATTTTGCGTCTATACCTGTGATTTATAGAAATTCAGAGCAGAACATGTCAAGGTTGTTATATCCAATGTTTATATTTTACAGATGAGGAAACTGAGACTTAAAGAACCTTAGGGACTATTGAACTAATTAGAGGTAGAGTGAGAGCAAGACCTACAATGCTCAGGTTCTTAGCCCAGACTCATTTTACTATCTCTCTGGGAGAAGTCATTGCTTTTAATGAAAATTTAAGACAAGAGGAAATAAAAGAAAGAGATCTGTGTGAAGAGTCAGAAAATAGGACATTTAGTTTTCCATCACCATTTTTCTCTGTGATCTTGGACAAGAAGGCACAGAATCTCTCTAGGCTTTAAGTTCCAAACCTCTAACATAATATAGTAAGCTTCCTTATTATAATGGAGAGATTGACAATGATTAAAATGAGCCATGTTTATTCACTTCCATAGAATTTTAATTAACAATCGCAAAAGCTTTTCCATCTAAACCAAGCCTAATACTCTTACCAGTAAACCTACAATCAGAGATGCCTTCAGACAGAAGGAACTCAATAAATTACTCAGGCCAATCTTCAATTGATAGCAGGGATGCCCTCCTACAGCTTCCCTGGGAGTGATTCTTCTCCAGCCTCTGCTTACATCCCCTCCCACCATGACTCACTACCCATGAGGTAGCCCATACTTTAGGCTTTATAAAACAGCCTTTTGTTTCTAAACTTTCCCTCCCTATAACTTCAGCCTACTGAGCCTAGTTCTACCTTTGAGAAGAAAAAAAAAATTTTTTTTTTTTTGCTCTTCTACATAGCATCCTTCCTCACATCTAAAGTTAACTGTCACGTTTCTCTAAGTCTTCTCTTTCATTGTCTTGGTTAGTCACCTCAAGTGATCTGTAATCCCTCCTAAAATATGCCCCCCAAAATTGAATGCAGTCATCTAGACTGAGCCTGACTCATTCTGAGAGCATGAAAGTAGGTCCTACAATGGGGATCATAGGCTTTTCATCCAGGCTGAGGTTACAGATATGTTTTAGTGATTTCATCTTGTTTGCTGATTGAATTTAGGACCAGCTGATTCGCAGGCAGTGTTCCACATGTGCACATGGATAGTCAACTTAGCAGCTCTTCTGTCCACATGACTGAAATTACTCCAAATATAGCTGGAGAATTATTAACCAGTGTCTCACTATCACTCTAAATTCACCATATTCCAGCAAAGCTCTCTCTAGTCTGCCTTCCCATTTCTATCAATGGTACTATCACTCTCCTGAATGACCTGATCTCACAGGTTAGAACCATCATTAATACCTCCTTTCTCCTTTAGCCTAGACTTCATCTTGTCCCTCCTCTAAGTGCTTTTCACAGTCTTTTTTGTTCTCATTGCCACTGCTCCAGGTCAAGACCCCATGTCCCTGGGACCAGTAGTTAGCATAATGGCTATGTCACTGAACTCCCATGTAGCTGACCGCGGTTTAGGTCCCAGACCTGGTGGATTAAACTCATGCTGGGCGCGTGTGCATGCGTGCCCAAGATCCCGAGAGAAGAATGGAGGAGAAGGGATTGCAGCATGGCCATCCCACCTGGGGAGGGCGATTTCTCACTTTATATCTCTCTGTCTCTCTCTGTTTTTCTGGTGAGCACACATGCCCTATAGCAAAAACCTATTTAAAAAAAATGTCCCTGACCTGAATTATTGCCATAATCTCTTTCTCTTTTACTTTTTTAAGAGAATTTTTTTTTTTTTTTTTTTTTTTTTTTTTTTTTTTGGCTATGGGTCACATGCGCTCACCAGAGAGAAACTGAGACAGAGAGAGAGAAATCACCCTTCAGGGGAGTGGCCACATTGCAATCCCTTCTCTTCCAATCTCCTCTCAGGATCTTGGGCACACATGCACACGCATCCAGCATGAATTTTAAGCCCTCAGGTTCAGGACTCGAACCATGGTCGACTACATGGGAGCCCAGCAATGTAACCATTATGCTATCTGCTGGTCCCACAGCAATCTCCTAACTGACTTGTCTGCTCAAAATTCTCTCTCCTCATGCCCAAACACACTGGTTACTCCAAATTCTAGTTTTCCTCATTTGCAGTTTAATTCATTTTTTTATTAAATAATTATTTATTTTAATTTTTTTATTCATTTATTTATTTTAATTTTACCAAAGAGAGAGAGACAGAGGGAGAGAGGGGGAAAGTGAGAAAACAAGCCACCAGGTCCAGGACTGGATTCATAGTCAGTCATGGGAGTGCCCAGTGCCTTAACCACCACGCCACCTACTGACCCTCATGCTTTTTTTTGTTTGGTTTACAATTTTCCTTAATTTTTATATTCTGTTTCTCGGGTGTTCAAGGATAGCAACCATGCATTTATCTGTAACTAAAGAAATTAGACATAAAGTAGGCAATTAATAAATATTTCTCGCTGATGACAATAACTATGACATTAAAATATTTTTAGATAAAAGGCACTTCAGAAAATAACTAGAGCCAAAAATGTAGAGAGACATGTAATTAAAAATGACAATAGTAGGGATCACCAGATGGCATAATGGACTCCCACATGGCCAACTGCAGTTCGAGTCCCAGACCTGCTGGCTTTAAACTCATGCTGGCTATATGTAAACTCATGCTACAACATGTAGCATGCCTTCCCAGGAGGAAAATAGAGAAGGGATTGTGGTGTGGTCATCCCCCTGAGGGGGTGACTTCTCATCTTCCCTCTCACTGTCTCTGTTTTTCTCTCTCTCCTCAGCTAGCACACACAGCCTAAGGCAAACATGTCTAAACATTTTTTTAATTAAAAATAACAATAGTAATATTGATATGTAAGCCATCCAAGTGCTCTAATAGGCATCTCAGAATTACTGCTCCTGAGCAGTGATGGCATAGCTGTAACATTACTGGACCCATTTGGGAAAGGTAATGATTCATGTCCTGTGAGTTCCCTGAGCATGCTGTAATCCAGGACAGCTGAGATTGGTTGTTGACTGTGGTGAAAAGACCCTTTTAGAGTGTCTATCTCTTTCTCTCTCTCTCTCTCTCTCTCTCTCTCTCTCTCTCTCTCTCACTCATTCTTTCTCTCTCTCTTTTCCTCTTCCCCTCCTGCACCTTTAAAATATATGTCTCTCCTTCCATATCCAACTCTGTATGCACATTACCAGGTACCTAACTTGTTCCTCCTTGAATGCATTTTTCAGCTACGACTATGCTCAACCACTAATCTGCACTGAAATACATTGAATTTCTTTGCAGAATCAGCATTCGAGCATTTACACAGCTGTTTGATGAAGACCTGAAGGAATTCACAAAGCCACTGTATTCAGACACATTTTTCTCTTTGCCTATCACCACTGAGTCGGGTGAGTCTATCTTTTCATCCATCTACATGTTCTGCCAAATACCATTTCACATACAATGGGGAGATGTAATGGGGGCGATTTGGTGATTTAGCTGATGATAGAGGGAACATTTGTTTTCACTGAAAGCTTAATCTTTATGTGATCATGGATTAATGTGGAATAGGGAAATTTCACTACTTCTGTAGGAGGATGGATTGATAGGGATAAATCTAGAAAAGAAAGTGGAAGCACAAAATTTTTTTTCCTATTAAAAATTAAGTATTTTTTAAACAGTGAGTGAAAACATTAAAAATCAAGAGTTTGCACAGGCCAAAATGTAAGTTGGTACAAAATGCTTTCAGTTCTAGGTAGAAATGTATATATATGCGTATACATGGAAATGCATAGAAAAAAAGACTAGAAGAAAAGCACCAAATTATTAATGGTGAGTATCTCAAAGTGATGGGATTATAGTTGAGTATTCTTCCTTTTGTGTATTACATGTTGCTTTTTCTTAGCACTGTAAAGTGCTAAGAAAATGTTTATAGGGAACCAGCAGTTAGTGTAATGGCTTTGTCGCTGGACTCCCACGTAGTCAACCGCAGTTCGCGTCCCGGACCCGGTGGCTTAAAACTCACGCCGGGCGCATGTGCGTGCGTGCCCAAGATCCCGAGAGGAGAATGGAGGAGAAGGGATTGCGGCGTGACCATCCCCTCT